AGAAAAAAAAAGTGATTTACACTATCCCATACAGCTTGAACGCCTCACCATCTCAGATTTTCACTTCCACCAGATGTTCAGCATGGATAGCAAAAGATCAAGAAATCCAATTCATGGGCACTACATTCAGGTAAATAAATATCACTTTTTAAAAATCAATATTTTAAAACAAAATCTATTAACTACCTCCTGAGCCATGATCAAAAGGTTAGACACAGGCACAACCAACTTCACAAAACAGTAAAGGCTGGATGTATCTTGGAAATATTTCCTTTTGTGGAATTATTCCATCTTCTTCAGAAAGATGGTATAACTATTGGCTCTCTGGAAACCTACTGACCTATATATCTGGTATCAGATGAGATGCTGCATGAAGAGTCAGATGTTGCTGATTCATGACCTTTTACAACCTCAGCATTACGAACTCTGTTAGACCGAAACTGCCTTTCACTGGATGACGGGCAAGATGGTGGTTGATCGTATACGACCTTAGAACCAGCATTCTCTGCAAAGATTAAATTTGCTGTCAGACGGTAATTACTTGGGTACATACTAAATACTACTGCAATTTTACATCACTTTAAGCTTGTGACCTACAAAAATCTTTGAATATATTTTGTGTTTTCTACACAGTCCAGGAATTCTCAGTTTTACAATAATCCTAAAATAACAAGGGAGAAATATAAACATACAAAGCATGGGTACTTGCTTTTAAAGCAGAGATGCTAACTGACGTTTAAAGAGTCTTTCAATTGCCACTGCCTATTGCAACTAGACACGTTTTACAGTAAACCTCCCTAAAGTTTAAATATAGTGTTAGCTTAAAAATTTGAGGAGATGTTCATCCTAACGGTCAGTCAGTATCAGCTAATCAGGATTGACCTTTCCTCATGGCAACATTTGTTGTACACATTTTACTTGCAATTTGTTCCAAATTCCCAACTCAAGCTAGTAGCCAGGTTATTAAACATATTTGTGAAAGTTAATACGAAGTTAAAAAATCCTACACAAATGCAATCTTTTTTCACAAATATATATTTTGTTATTTCCAAATAAAGCTTACAATTAGCATTTTTCTCCTTTCTAACTTGCAAAGTTTTGAGAGTTCGCAGTACGTTGCTAAATAGGTAAAATAGTAGAGATGCTTCCATCTTGGAGGAAAGAAAAAAAAAAAATCTTGCAAAACCAACTACGTTTTTCTTGGTTATGGTTCAGTCTTTAAAAGAGACTGCAGACAGTAGTCTTTTCTGTTCACACTCTTCACAACTCTAAAGCATCCACTTATGGAAGAAACCAGAAACTTCAAATGATATTCTGCAGGGCATCCTACTCTAATTCAAATTCTAACAACCGTATTACAGATTTATAATTCTTTTGAAATGGAGGACTTTCATCATAGCAGCTACAGAAAACATGACAAACATGAAAACATCACAGTACATTATATTTATAAGGAATAAAGCATCAGGCTGTGTTAAAATGTGGAATGAATACTATATTATAAACCCTTGTTTTCATTCCCCAGCTTTATTGATATTATTGCAGTTTCTTAGATCTGTGGTTCAATTTCTCATACAAATGAGTTCCAGTTTGTATCACTTTTGAAAAAAAAAACATTTAGGCATTGAGGGTTGCTGCATTCATCCCGAGGTGTGATATTTTCATTATTCATTTTCAAAAAGGACTCCATTCAACTAAGATCAATGGGATATTTCATCTATGAGAGTCCAAAAGTTAGCTTATTTCTTCAACCAACAAACACCTGAAACATTTTAATCTCTCAAACGAAAGAACGAAAGAAAGAGGAGAAGAAATACTAACATTGGCCCCTTAGAGAAGAAGCTAGAGGAATAAAAATGCAAGTCATGAAATGGCAGTCGGCTTGAACAAATACTTAGCATTAGTCTTCATGCAGGAGGATACCAACAGCATTCCAAAAATATTGAAGAATCAAGGAGTTAAAGGAAGAAGGAAATAAACACAATAGACACAATGTAACTACTTCCTTTGATATTCTCCAACGAACTTCTCGATCTTTAGTTATTAGCTTTCCCAGTATTTTTTCCTCTAGCGATCATTATTATGCATACTTCCTCTCTTCCTTTTTATTTTTAAAGCTTTCCTAATTCTCTGGCTTACGACTAATCTTTGCCATATTGCATGATCTTCTTTCCATTTGTTATCCTTAACATTCCTGGTAAACCACAGTTGGTTTATCCCCTTCCTAGACCGCTTCTTTCTCAATTGAATTTGTGTTTCAGGTGGGTCATTAATTACTTTCTTGAACAGCTGCTATTGCTCCTCAACAGTCTTTGCTGCTAAATTCCTTTCCCGGTCCTCCCAGCTGGCTCTGCTCTCATTCCTTTGTAATTATCATTATTTAAGTTTAGCACAGTTGTTTCTGATGCTAAACTCTACTTTATTATGATTGCTGTTTCCTAGGGGATATTTTACATTGAGATAATTTATTAAACCTGCCTCAGCACACATTATAGATCCAAAATAGCCAGATCCCTGGTTGAATCTCAGTGTGATTCTGAAGAATTCATTACTGTAGAGTTAGGTCATTAAGTACATTCAAGGCTGAGATAGACAGAATTCTAATTAAGGGAATCAAAGGTCACACGGAGAAGGCAAGAAAGCAGAGTTGAGTATTGTCATGTCAACAGACTTGAGCCAAAAATCCTAATTCTGCTGTTACATCTTATGGCCATATTTTTAAACTGCAAGCTGAACCTTGTATATCTATTTCATTCACAATGTGGGATGATAGAAAAATAAAATGCAGTATCAAATCAAAGATTTCGTATTCAATGCAATAACTAGGTTGAAATGAAGCACACATTCAAATACTGTAAAATTCATTTCCTGGTCTCTCAGAATACTTGCCATCTTCATGTGATGCCTACAATATTTTAACCCTAGTTGAATTTGTTCTATTAGGCATTAACAGGAGCGTAACACAGATAAAGACTTCTGTAAGAAATGTAAGTGCAGGTATAACTCAATACCATATCACTCACAGCACTGAAGTAACTTTATCAAGATTACAACTTCAGTTTCCGTTGAAAATTAAAAGGGGAATGTATTTCAAAGATCATAAATTCAAAACATTATGACTTGAATTATTTGTATAAAAATTAACTTTGCTAATTACATCAAAACAAACGTATGAGGAGCAGAAAAAGGGCATTCTCGAAGAACGAAACAAAACTAAAACCAGATTAAATGTAACTGTGGAATTTTAAGCTATTACATGATTTTCCAAATCTCTCCCATAAGCACAGCCAACGCGGATTTACAGGTAGCAGCACATACAATAACAACTTTTAAAATTTTTTAACTCCCACAAATCATTTTCCTGTTTCTTTGCTTCCTACTTTAGATCACTGTTTTGGTTAATTCCTCCAAAAGCACAGTAATTTGACTCACAAGCAGCATATTTCTAGGAAAGATGGTGACATACTGGCAATGCCATTGGACAGATGTTCAAATTCCACCATGGCAGAGAAAGAAACTTGGACTCTACAATAAAAAGCTAGCCTGACAGCAACCATGTAACCAGTCAATTGTTGTAAAAACTCCATCTCATTTACTAATCTGCCATCATTACCTGGCCTTCATATGACTTCAGACCCACAACAATGTGGTTAAACTTTGGGCAATAAATGCTAGTGTCACTAGCATCAATCAAATGTATAGAAAAAAAAAAGAAATTAAAGCCAGAGTTTATTAAAGGAGAATGTGATTTTCTCTCATAGCAAGAACATAACACAAATAACTCTGAAAGCTTAATGTATTGAATCTCTTGAAAGTATAATTAATGTTTTAATTGTTGAGCATTCTGCAATATAACACTATCTACTTACATTCCTTCCTTACTTTATATATTCTAACGTTATCTCTACACAGAACAAAACTTGTTAATCATTAGCATAAATAGCTTTTTTTTCCCATTTAGTGTATACTTAGTGTGACACTGCTTAGTTAAGTAAAATTTACTCCTGTTTGCAATTACCATTTATACTTAAGATTTCAAAAAAAACTTGAACTGTCAACCAGGACATACACAGACCTATGTTATCACTGGTCAATCCTGAATTTAACACTTAATTTTGATTTGTTAAAATAGCACGAGGGCACATACTGCAAGCGAAGCTCACAATGCTTAATAATAAAAACAAAGTTGCTGGAGAAGCTCAGCAGGTCTGGCAGCACCTGTGAAGGAAAAAACAGAGTTAACACTTCGGGTCCAGTGGCCCTTCCTCAGAAGGCCCTTCCCCTCTGAGGAAGGGTCACCAGACCTGAAAGGTTAACTCTGTTTTTTCCTTCACAGATGCTGCCAGACCTGCTGAGCTTCTCCAGCAACTTTGTTTTTGTTCCTGATTTACAGCATCCGCAGTTCTTTTGGTTTTTACTCACAATGTTTAAAATGTTTTAGTATAGTGTAATAAAGTCAAACAAACAGTAAATTTGTATTGACGACAAAGCTTTTAAACATCAATTGTGTTCTTCAAATGGGAATCAAAATTTCAAAACTATAAGTGCAGACAGCAGCTTGGTAATACAATTTAAACAGAACGCATTGGAAAACTCAGTGGGTTGGCAGTATCTGTGAAGAGAAACCGTTTATGTTTCAAATCCAACATGACTTCATAGTCACACTGAACTCAAAGCAGGAGCTCTTTTTCTCCAGAAAGATGCTGCCAGATCTGAATTACTACAGAACTTGTTTTTTTCAATATAAATGTCAGATCTCCAGCATCTAGAAACAAGGTAGCTAAGTGCTTAGCCCTGCTTACTTACAATACCTGTGACTCGCGTTCAACACCACCCTCAAGCGACTGTGAGTGTGGAGTTTTCACATTCTTCCAGTGTCTGCATGGGTTTCCTCCCACAGTTCAAAGATGTGCAAGTCAGGTGGATTGGCTATGCTAAATTGCCCATAGTGTCCAGGGTTATGCACGCTAGGCAGATTAGCCATGGGAAATGCGGGGTTACAGGGCTAGGGTGCGGAGGGGATTGTTGGATCTGGGTGGTGTGCTTTTTGGAGGGTCAGTATAGACACGATAGGCCAAGTGGCCCGTTTCCACACTGTAGGGATTCTGCGATCTGCACTATTTTGCTTTTCTATCAGCTTTGCAATGATACCAGCATTTCTTATGGCTTGGTCACTACTTTGTGTACAGTTCTACAATCTGTTAATTTGACCAAAGATGCAAAGAATGACCTAACACATCAATGACAATGCGATCCAAAACTAAACATAAAAGGTCAGAGAAACAAGCTCACTTAAAAATTCTCTAGTCCATTGAGTTGCCAAGCTTGATTTGCTCTGAATTCAACATACAAAAAGATTTAAGCCAACTTTCAAACTCCTGTTTGCTAACTTATCCCCTGTCCATACTACGTTACCTAAACAGGATCTGGCAATTTGTCAGGTTTTAATTCTAATAAACATTCACTGTACTCCTTCCCTGTGGATTTTAACTGTTGGAAGCTGAGGGATGACCTTAGAGGTTTATAAGATCATGAGGGGCATAGATAGGGTAAATAAACAAGGTCTTTTCCCTGGGGTGGGGGAGCCCAAAACAAGAGGGCACATGTTTAAGGTGAAAGGGGAAAGATTTAAAAGGGACCCAAGAGGCAATTTTTTCATGCAGAGGGTGGTGCATGAGCTGCCAGAGAAAGTGGTGGAGCATTTAAAAGACATCTGGATGGGTATGAATAGAAAGGGTTTTGAGGGGTAGAGGCCAAATGCTGGCAAATGGAGCTAGATTAATCTCGGATATCTGGTCGGCATGGATGAGTTGGACCGAAGAGCCTGTTTCCATGTTGTACATCTCTATGACTCTATTTAAAGTTCCTCACTCCCTTCACTATGATTTCCAATCATTTCTGGAAAATTATTAGTTTGCTTGTGTCTTCACTGTAGAAGACACAAGAAAACTATCTGCTCAGTTCATTGACCTTATTTTCCACATTTAATTTCCAAGATACCATCTACCAAGGATCAAGGCTCACTATAGATACACTTTTCATTTTGATATACCTGTAAGAAAGTCTTGCCATTTATTTTTAGATATGGCTAGCTTTCCCCCAACATCCTATTTCTCCCCACCCTTTCTTTGCTAATAATTCTTGGCAGCTTATTATATCCTGTCCAATCTTCTAACTTGCCAGCAATCTGTGCAAAACTGTATGCTTTTTCACTTAAGTGTTTCTTTGTTGAGTGTTATGAAATATCTCCTTAAATGTCTGCCATTGCATCTCTACTGTCCTATCCATTGCCAATTTTTCCACTCCACTTTAGCCAGCTGTTTCATCTCATAAGACATTCATCTTCAACCCTTTGTTCTCTTCCTCAAATTAGATGATTGAGTTTTACATTCAATGATCACTGCTAATTCAGGGAACCTTTACAGAGGTCATGAAATAACATTCTCAAAGCAATACCATGAGATAAGGAGATTAACATAAACACACATATTTTGTTGTCAACGGACTCAATGGGTAGCAGGCAGTGGTCCACATGCAACCATTTCAAACAACGATGTCCCACTTTACAAATGACGCATACAAACAGAGCAGTTTGTTTCAGAAGGTGGTGTGTACAGCCCAGACCATCACTGAAGCCGTATTTACACGGCTCGCTGCTGCGGAAAAACTGCCAACATCAAAGGCCCATTGCACCCTGGTAACGACCTTCTACAACCTCTTCTGTCAGGCAGAAGATACAGAAGCCTGAACACACGCACAAGCAGGTTCAGGAATGGCTTCTTTCCAGCTGTTATCAGAATTTTGAATGGATTCTAGCCTCAGATAATGTAACTTGTATGTCCCTAAGTCTTTTTGATCCGTACATTCTTTGCTTGCTGTGATCTGCCTGTACTGCTCGTAAACAAAGCTTTTCATTGTGTTTCGGTACACATGACAATAAAATCAACCAAGCACCTATTCAACACAAAGATAATCTGAATGATTCAGATTATAATATGCAAATTGTATGCTGACAAAATCATACTATAATTTATGATTTGCATACCTACTGGAAGCGGACTGTTAGATTCATCCACGGTTAACTTAAGTTGTTGAATAAAATCAACATCATAGACAATTCTTTCCTGCCAGATATTCAGGACTCGTTCCATTTGTTTCTTACAACTCTGCTCAGATTCTCTGGGGAAGAAAATTTTAAAAAAGTGAACAAAACTCCAGTAACTTTAATATTGTTTAAGACTGTTAGTGACATCACAGCTTCTATTATACTTATCCTGAAAAAACAAAAACTTATTTTAAAAAATTTGAAAATATCACATTAGATCAAAGACAACAATTTCTCTCAACTTCTATCAGGAAACAAAGCATAAGGTAGCTACTCAAATCAAACCCGATCCTGTCCTCAATGGATGGTCACATAACTACTTATAAAATGATTGCTGGATGGCAATTGGAAGGAATACTCTGGATTATGTCTCTAATCATAACTGTAGCACATCATTCCAATGGTAGCTCTCCTATTTTGAATGCAAGACATTGTACTTAGCACAAACCAGTGAAACTTCAACTATTGACTTTGTAATAACGAGAACCCAACAGAGACTTCCTGGTATACCAAGGTGTAGAGCTGGATGAACACAGCAGGCCAAGCAGCAGCAGAGGAGCAGGAAGGCTGACGTTTCGGGCCGAGACCCTTCTTCAGAAACCC